GATCAGGGTCCATTTCACCCCATGCCACTTTTCACTCTACCCTGGCATTTTTTTCCAACATTGCTTGCCTACTTACCATTCCCATAACTTATTATAATTGTCACTTGTAGTAAAAAAATACATTAAATTAATAAACTTTTTTAACTTTATTCTTATTGAAGTGGGTTATTAAGTTGACGTCGGCACTTCAAAGGACTGGTACTGCTATGCATATATACACATATACTATTGAAACTTTGTAATTGTTGTTATTACCTTAATATCATTTTGCCTTTTACTCAAAAAAAAAAAAACCAAGAAATATGCTATTGCACAAAGCATTGGAGTTGATGTTTTCTTATTATTAAATTATGTTAAAGAATCAAGTGGAGGTTATTTAGGATGAACACTGTGATTGCTAGAATTTGTTTTACTGATTCTAGCTTGCAGCTCCAATCTATGCTCTGGATTTCCAATCCGTTCTTTGGATCTTGTTTCCGACATCAAAGCGTTGCCGGAAAGGGTGGCTCTGATGCCAAATTAGTACATAGGGAAGAGAGAGAAATAGAGATCACATGTTTACATTATTCAACAGCCCTTCGTAATACATCTAAAGGGATATTTATACTTCTAATCCGGTTTAGTAACTAATATTATTCTGTTACACAATTTTTTTCGTGACAAAAATGTTTAGGTAAGTTGGGTCTCGGAAGCTTATTAAGATTAAGGCATACCTTCAGGGTTAGAGACCGTTTATAGAAATACTTACAGATTGTTTACCAATAAGGTCCTAATATTAGTAGTAGGATTCGAACTCATGATCTTGTGGGTTATGAGCTTATTCCTTGTCAACTGAACTAACACCTGTCCTAACCAATATGCACAACTTGACATGTATCAGCAACAGTAAAGCGAGAAGCCGGACGCAATGGACTGGTGGTGGTCAAATCTCCAAATCAACTACGTCCTTGTTTGCCATTACACATGCAGGTTTATTTCGTCGGTTATTTTGTTCTAATGCCACTGCTGTCTCTTTTAGGATGTCCCATATATTAAAGTTAAGCATTTGCTTATATTTTTCTACTCCTCACATATTTTCCCGCAATTGTGAACTTAATTATGGTTATAATGTATCATCAATCTCCTGAATTTGGTGTCGAATGAGAGATTGTGACGTTGTCGAGTAAGAGTGAGAATGGGACGTTGTGAGGAAGAGGTCTGAGTGCAAAACTGAGTGAAAGAAGATAATTTATATAAAATTTTTGATGTAAAATTTTTTCAATATATGATCATTTTTTTAGAAGTAACAAGTATAAAATTATCTTTATTTTAAATTAGATATATCTATCAAAATAAAAATTTGTCTAAAATATAAAATAAATTTAAACTAGATCTTGATCATGTAAAATTAATTTGGATGGTTGGCCTTGATCAATCAGATTGTATAATGAATCATAATTCTTCTTCAGCTATGCACATATAAACAGCTCTGAATAATGAGCAAGAAAGTCAATAAAAGATACACCTCCTTGCTGAAAGCGATGTACATGTCTTTTTAATCCCCTTCCTATTCCCTCTTGTTTCTCGCTATTTAAAAGTGAGAATTTTGTAAACATAACTCTTTTTAGAATGAAGTTATCATTAGAAAATTTTGAGATGTGCTCATGAAATGAACAGTAATATGATGCTGAGCTTAATCATATCATGGATAGAATATTCAACGTATTAAGAATTCTAGAGCTCAACCATAACCAGTCCAAAAGCCCCAAAAAAAAAAACTAATAAATATTAAGAATTCTAATTTGGTTCTGCTTCCTTCAGCATCACTTTGGCGGTGATGTGAAGAGTGGGAGACTATTGGACTTTTATTAATTAAAGAAGCTTTTAACTCAAAACAGTGCGAAGAGTATATAATACAAGCATTTTGAAGTGGAATAATTTTAACGCATAATACGTGATCTCAATTAAGCACATAGACAATATCAAATCCACAAAATATAAAAAGTCTACATCAGTACAATTTCGAAACACAACTAAGAAACAATAAACAGAATTAATCGTAGGTAAAAATTATTTTTAAAACAGTTCAAATCACAACTTTGAAGATCCCATAATGCACAAGAAATAGAATTTGGACTTGCAGCAGCAGCAACATCTTTTCTTGAACGCACAAACACTTGAGGACTGCAAGAGAAGGAAGAAAAAGGCAAATACCAAGTTAGAATATGAAAAGAGTACATTTGAATGAGCTCATATTAATTGTTCCAACTGGCAGTTGCAATTTGGGTCCTGAATATCTATCAATGAAATAAAGCTTATAGTGATTGGTCCTGAACCAACTACAGACATTAATAGATTAAAAAGAGTAGAATGGAGTTGAAGGTACTAAAGACCTTGATTTTGTTGAAATGGATGATAACATAACCCATTATTTATTCACCAATTAACATGTGGTATGTGAGCAAGTACTGGCCAATCCAGGCCACACCCTCTAATTTTTGTCTGTATGTCTCCTTTAAAACCAAGCAACCGATGACATCAAAATGTTGCAATGATGGGAGACTCTTTATCGAGTCTGAAAGTGATGCCAAAACAATGCAGTCCCAGAGGCTTAGCGTTTGTGATGATGTGAGTCTTCCAATAGACTCTGGAAGTGATGCCAAAGAAATGTAGTTGGAGAGGTTTAGAAATTGCAATGATGTGAGATTTCTAATAGACTCTGGAAGTAATGCCAAAAAAATAACAACTACTGAAGGTTAGTTCTTGTAATGATGTGAGACTCCATATCCACTCTGACAACCATTTGCCAAAAACTTTGTAAATAGACAGTAATCTGATTGTGTGACGTGGCTCTAAAACTTCTAAAATTATCTCATCCTCATCATGCACATTTTCTCCCATAAGTCCACATCTTAAGGTCAATACTCCAAGATATGACATGTAAAGCAGAGACTATGATGACTCAACCTCCTTTGCATTTCTCCGCTGCCTTCTCAAATTTGTAATCTCCAAATGTCTCCTCAAACAGATCAGATCACGTAGCTCACTTATCCTTGCACCACCACTACCACTCACTTCGTTCTCCACAAATGTTGTCAGTGTTTGGAGATTAATCAAACACCCCAAACCACTTGGCATGCATATCAAGCTCTCACAATAATCCAATTCAAGATGTCTCAGTCTTACAAATCTCTTCAAGTCACCAGGAAGTTTTATTAAAAATTGACAAACATTAAGTATTAGAGTCAGCAAGTTATGCAACTTGGTAATTCCTCATGAGAGCTTCTTAAGTGGCTCATTATTACTTAAGTTAACATATCTTAAATGCTTCAAGTTTATGATACTTTTTGGAATTTGCAATTATTGATTCGTAAGAACTAATACACGTAGCTGCTTCGGAAGTGATGTTGTAGACCCACAAATTAGATTAAAAACTTTTGATGAAGAGTGACTTGGGATAAATTTCCATTGTCCTTTTACCGACAAAATTGTTCTCATTTTCTTTATCTTGATATTACCAAGTGGAGACTTCCCAAAATTGTCAAGATGACTTCACATATGACAAATCCCATCACCAGAGTTCTCAATTTCTATCCTTTCACTTGTGACAATGTAACTCTCATTTTTACTGATTGATTGTACTAGATCATGTATGAGGTCATGCATCTTACACCATCCTATGTCACCAAAAAAATCTCTCATCACATCTTGAAACAAGAACCTTGATAATAACTATTTGGAATACGCGTCACTAACATCTTCTAAGGACCTATTTTTATCTAAGGGTTAAACGAATCCCTCAGCTATCCATAGCTGAATAAGTATTGTTCTCTCAATCTTATAATCTTTTGGAATTAGAGAGCAAAATGCAAAGAAATTTTTTAAATGGGAGGGAAGATGATCATAACTAAGTTTAAGGATGAAAAAGATTTTGTTGTCCTCAGAATCTATAGTTGCAAGTTCGTTATCCCTAAAATATGACCATTCACTCACTTCTAACTCTTTGTTAAACAATGGGATACCAATGGTTCTTATTGTAAGTGGAACTCCTACATATTTTCTCACAATATCACTACAAAAAAATAGACTTTAAACAACAACTTTTGGCGGCGACAGAAAAAGTCGCCGCTGAAAGTCCACTTTTGCGGTTTTTTTATTGCTGAAAGGTATACTTTCAACGGTGACAAAAAATTTGCCGCTGAAGGTCCACTTTTTGCGGTGACTTTTTTTGTCACTGTTGAAAGTCCACTTTTTGCAGTTTTTTTTACTACTGAAAGGTATACTTTCAGCGGTGACTTTTTAGTGTCGTCGCTAAAGGTCTGACTTTCAGCGGTGACTTTCTAATATCGGCGCTGAAAGTATAATCTAATAATATAAATTTTATTTTACAATAATAATAAACAAATTCAATCCAACTCAGCGGCAAGATGATTGGACACGAAAAGAGGTGGTCACAAGTTCGAACCCTGAAGAAGACACATTTAAGGTGAAAATATTTGGACGGTGACGTGGCAGGGAGGGGTGATGTGGCATGAGAGTGGTGATGTGGCAATGACGTGGAGGTGGCCGACGATGACATGGAGGTGGCTAGTGGTGACGTGGCATCCGATAGATGATGATGTGGTAACCGGCAACGATGAGGTGGAGGTGGCCAGTAATGATGTGGCGTCGATAGTGATGACGTGGCGTCAGTAAAGCCAATTTTTCTTAAGCATTACTTTCAGTGGCGACAAAAAAGACGCCGCTGAAAGTCACTTTTGGCGGCGACAGATTGTCACCATTGAAAGTTCTTTCAATGGCGACAATAAGGTCGCCGCTGAAACCAGCTTTTAGCGGTGACAAATGTCGCTGCTGAAGCTTTTAAAAGTCGTTGCTGAAAGTGTCTTTCAGCGGTGACCTTTTTTATCAGTATCACCACTGAAAGTTTTCAACCACGGTCGTTACGGCTACTACGTTGCCACTGAAAACTTTCAGCGGCGACTTTTATACTTTCAGTGGCAACTTTTTGTCGCCGCCGAAAGTCAATTTTTTTGTAGTGTATCCTTTTCCATCCCCACCAACTTGTGATCATAAGGTTCTTTCCCATCCCCAAAAACCACTCTACAAAATAGCTCCCAAGAGTTACCTTCATCCAAATCTTTCAAGGAAAGAGGCGGATGCGTGCCTATTGTATCTGCCACTTCCACACTGCTTGTAGTGACAACGATCATACTCCCTTTTCTTCCAGCCCTGAACAAGTTTTCTAATTTAAGCCATTCCCCACGATCCTTAATATTCCAAACATCATCTAACACAAGTTGAAGAAATTTCCCCTCAATTTTATGTCTCAGCTCTCGGGATGCTTGATGCGCCTTAGCAGGTGTTTCCTGCTCAATAATCTTTTTAGCTAACATGTTATTGCTAAGTGCATGGGATTTATCAGATACAAAAAGCCACGTCATAACCTCAAAATGATTTTTGATAGCCACATCATTATACACTTGTTGAGCAAGTGTCGTTTTTCCCGATCCTCCAATTCCAACTATGGGAACTACCGAGACATCATTTTTAAGATTAGAGTTTAAAAGGGTACTAACAAGACGCATTCTTTCCTCGTCTCTCCCTACAACATCTTCTTCGCTCACAAACAGGTCGGTTCGTCTCCATTCATGAGACTCATTCGAAGTACTCAAAGAGCTCTCATGTAATAGAAATGAATTCTCCTCATCAGAAATCTCGTCTAGTTTCTTCCTAATTGCCCTAATTTTCCATCCCATTTTATGAGCACAAACAAGTCGGTTTGATTTGGAGAAGAATATGTGTGCCTCCTTCGCCATTTTATCTTTGGTCATCACTTCCCTTGTTAGCTCCTCAGCGGAGTAGGTATTCAACAAGTCTTCAGCATCAAGCAGCATATCTCTCAGCTTCTGTAGCCAATCATTGATCGCTTCAACTTTCGTGGCCTTTCTCTTAGCATCACGAAGCACGGCTCTGATTCCAGTGACCTTCCTCTTCGTAGTCTCCAAATCATCTTGGAAGTTGCAAAGAGGGTCAAGCTCTTTGGCAGCTAAAGAGCCCAGTAGCCCAATGACATTCTCAGCAAGGGCTTCCATTGATGATCGATGGCAAATTCAAATGGGGTTTGTATGATGAGGAGAGTAATTGGAATAAACACACCGCTGACTGAATACAATTTGTGTAATAATCAGAGACATAATAAGAAACTACAATGCTTATATCCTAATATGGAGAGGTTCAGTCACGGGATTCAGCTTCAAGGCTAAGCAATTACACCTCAAAATTTAGAATAAGAGAAGCAATAGTCTTCTATAGAGGAGGAATTAACGCGGATAGTGAGGAGAAAGGCGGCGTGCGTACAGAGAGAAGTTAGATAACAAGCTAGATATCTTGACTAGTTGCTGGTTTTTTTATTGGGACTACTTAGGAGTTTCTTTTCCTAGTTTGTTTGTTTTTTTTTTTTTCAAAAGAAAAACCAGGCTTGCTTTTGTATCTGGAGAAAAATAACAAGTTAGATATCTTGACTACTTGCTGGCTTTTTGCTGTTAGTTGGGATATTAGGAGTCTCTTTTCCTAGTTTATTTCTTTTTTATTTTTTTTAAAAAAAAGCCTGGGCTTGCCTTTGTATCTGAAAAAAATAACAAGTTAGAATGTTAGATCACCTCTCCACTTGTTTATGGCATTTCCTTCCACTTGTCGAATCCACACCCTTCATCAAATTTATTGGTGAAGAAAAATCATTCACGTAAATGGATAGTTCTGTTTTGTGAAAATGCCATGGTATTCTGTTCTTAAAAAGGGAAATCAAAAGAATAGAAATAAAAAAGTGGAGGTCTTATGTTTGTTTTTTAAAAGCGCAAGATATTAAAATTCAAGTAGCACTGTGCCATCAAAACAGTGAACCAATCTTGTGGCTGTATTTCTTTTTCATTTTAAATTAAATCAAAATATTATATGTAATCCTAAAAATATAATATTTAAATAAAAATAGATTAATTCATAAGTAAATAGCATCACACCATTTACATAGGAATTATTTTTAATAGATTTGATTTGATGAAGCGTGTGGCGTCGCGTGGATTAGAGAAGTGGACGGAATTTGACCACAAAGAATTGGAGAGGTTCCGCGCTCAGTCCATCCTAATGTCCAACTCCGTATCACTCGGAGCCGCCCGGGCCCTCTCCCTTTCTTTTTCTTCTATTCCCTTCCACTTTCCTAATCCTGACCCTTGCTTTAATCTATAACCGAAAAAACACATAAACGTGATATTTAAATAATATTTGGATGGAAACCAAATTATAATTTAAAAAATAATTTTACGATGTACGAAGTAAATATGTAAAGAAATTTACTTTAATTTACAAAAAAATATTTTTCAAAAACACTTTTAGTTTATGCCAAATACCCCCCTTAGTACCTTCTCATTGCACACTTTAAAAACTCTCTCTTTCGTTTTTATCCCTCCTCCACGCCCTCGCTTTCTGTCTATGCTTTTTCCTCCTTTTTTTCTTTATCTTATTCTCTCTCTAGCTTTTCACTCCAAAACCACAGAGGACGAGGATAAATAATATACAGCCCCTTCGACTTATAAAAGAAAATTCTTGCTAAAGAAGCTAGAAAAACGCAGAAGGCACTATATATTTTATTATAGGCAAAAATTAGAATAATAAAAATATTACACCAAAGTCATAAATTTTTTTGAAAAAATTGCATGCCAATCGATTGAGATAGTAGAAAACATTTAGTTAAAGGAGGCCGTATAAAATTGTTGTTTCTTACGTATAGAATAATGACAATTTTTACGGTTTTTTTAATAACTTTGATTGGATGGGAGGAATAACAGTTGGCCATAACTTTTTATGGCGTTGGCGTTTTGTTCCTTGTGAATTTAAAGATGAACAATAGAAGACAATAAATAAGGGAGAGAGAAAAAAGACAGAGTAAAGAAAGGGCGTGGGGGAAGAGAGAGGGTTTTTAATTTTTAGAGTGTGTGATGTGAAGGTATTACATGTCATCTGCATTTGCGTTTTTTCAGCAGAGATTAGATGAAGGGTCAAGATTAGGAAAGTGAAAGGAAATGGACGAAAAAGAAATAGAGAGATCTAGGAACACATACAAGATTCGTTACCACAAAAAAGATTATGGTAACCCCATCATTAACTACTTCATTTATGAATTTCATAATAATAGAAATACATGTCCTACCAAGACAGAATTTGTAACTTCCTATCTTCTTACCTAGCAGGCAAAGATTTACCTCCATGGAAAGGATGATTCATTCGGATCAACACGAGAATCCAACCACATTGCATTGACAGTGCCACACTGGATCTGAATTCTTTGTATTTCCTTTTCCAGTACTCCCAACAGAAAATGCCAGAACTATAATAACGTTCGTAATTAAAGAGAATGTTAATGGAAAGTAGACAGTTAATTAGTTCTAAAACAAGGAATCGAAAATTATTGAGAAAGGAAAGAATCAGAGGCTCAGTGTGAAAAAGAATGGAGACAAATCACAAAAGCATGCTTGTCTTATCGGAGAGGAAATGGCATTTTTTGGCCGGAGAGATGAATTCATATACTTATCTTGCTCAAAGACAATGATATGACCTCATCGTTATGTGTCATGATATAAAAATGAATAGCTTAGATACTTTTTTTGCCGTTAAATATCAAAATTATATGAGTGCTATATCAATGTCAATAAGATATTCAAAGTCAAATTAAATTAAGGTTAAGGTGCATCCAGTATTACAAAGTATTTTCTTAGGTATATCTAGCACTCTCAAATATTTTGAGATGTATCCAGTATCCTGAAATATTTTTTCAAGTACATCCAACACTTATATATCTTTTGGTGCATCTAATATCCTAACATATTTGTTTTGCACTACAAAAAAACAGCTGATTAGCGACGGAATTTGCGACGAAAACAAATTCCGTCGCTAATTTCTGACGGAATTGCGACGGAAATTCCGTCGCTAATTTTTTCGACGCATTAGTGAAGGAATTTTTCCGTCACTAATATTAGCGACGGATTAGCGACGGAATTTCTGTCCGTTGCTAAATTCAGTAGCTAATCCGTCAGAAAATCTGTCAGTAAATATTTAGTGACGGAATTTCTGTCCGTCGCTAAATTCAGTCGCTAATCCGTCAGAAAATTTGTTCGTTGTTTGTCATAGAAGTTTTTGTCACTAATAACGTCACTAATTCTGTCGCTAATTCTATTCCGTCGCAATTCCGTCACTAATTTTAAATTTCGTTATTTTAAATTATAATCTTACAAAAATTATATTATAACAATTAAGAATATAATGATTTAAAAACATTTTTAATTATAAAATAAATTGATATACTTATGGAGTTGGCGTTAATGAAGATATTGTCATGATTCATGTCATCATTATGTATATACTGAAAATAGAAAGATAATTTCTTAGAAAACTTATTTATATTTTGTTAAAATAAATTCCTCTTGATTATTAATAATAATTAAAAAATACAATAAGAATATTAATAACTTTTTTATACAAACTAATATAAGAAAGAAATAATTTTATCATATGTAAAATATATTGAAATATATAATATATAATAGAAATTCAAAACGATTTAATAAATTTATATGAATGCAAATTAATATTGAAGTGAATTTTGAATTTCAATCATTAAACAATAAAATTTAATCACGATATAATTAATACCCATGATAGATTGATTTTGGTCTTAATACAAAAACAAATGGTATATATAAAAAATTTTAAGAAATAAATTACCTAGGATATATATACAAGCAGGAGAATACTGTTTATCATAATCTATTCAAATCATTTAATTTTTTATATAGAATAATTTATTTATTATTTTTATTATAGTAGTTATTTTTTGAATAACAAGATTTTTTGACTAATTATAAATGATTTTCTTCAAATATATAAAACATATATAGATAATATAATATAATGTAATATAATACATATATCATTAAATTGTATATCTTATCAATGTTAATTAAAAAATAAATTTAAAAAATATTTATAAAAAAATTATTTATGATTTAAAATTCAAGATTAGTGCGGTTAGAAATTAAAATTATATTAAAATTATTTTTTAAAAAATAAAAAATTATAAAACAAATATTGAAAAATTATTTTTTCATTAAAATAGTTATGATTAAAATTATCATATAGTATATTTTTAGTTTTTAATAATATATATAATTGTTTGTGTAAAATAATATTATATATTTTTAATTTTACATAATAAGTCAACAGGTTCATTGCAGCTCAACTGGTAAAGCCGCACACGCGCATAGAGGAGGTCCTGGGTTCGTGCCATGGAAAAGTCACTTTGAAGAGGGAATTATATGGTGGTGACACGTGGCAGGCAAAGGTGACATGTGATGTGGTAGCAAAGGTGATGTGGCAGCACACTTGACTAAATAACCGAATAATGCTAACAACGAACCGAAACCGAATGTAGTTAACTAACCGAACCGAATTAACCGAAATATATTTGGTTCGGTTAGTGGGCTTATTCAGTTATTGGGCTTTTTTTTTTGTTCCAAGTATCATACCAGTAGCCAACCAACGGAATAAAAGTCCAAACAATAATATTCCTTTTGGGCAATACAATGCATAAAACGATGTTAATTAAAATGTAGAACAACTTTCACACGCTTTTCCAAAACCCAAGCTTCGCATCTTCAATTAAAATCATCAAAATAGGACCGCTTATAAATTAAGTCATGAAGTTGAATACAAGCTTGATTCGTTGTGGGCAATAAAATCATCCAAGTGAGGTTAATTAATCAGTCTTTTCAAGCGCGAAGTATCAAGTAAACTAGATTGCTGAATAGCGCGAAGTATCAAGTAAACTAGATTGCTGAATTAATGGATGTCTCACCCACCTTCCACACGCTGATTTCACAGCCCCTGTTCCTTTCTTTATCATTAACCCTGTTTTCATTTAAGAAAATCTTGGCCGACATTTCTGTTTAACATAACTTGTGAAACATAAATAAATTAAATTATTCACAAATATGTATATCTAAACACACTATCATAGTTAAATCAGTTGGAGATGTTTACATCT